GTCCAGGTGGTTGATTATCAGACTTTTCCACCTCATTTCCCCCAGAATTTCCCTTTTGTGGGGTGGAGGCCTGTGTTTGTGCCTTGCTTAAATGTCTTCTCATTTTTGTTTTTGGTATTGTCCTTGGTTTAATTCCCTGGTTGATATTTCAAAATTGCTTAATGTAGGTATCTTTGTTGCTTGTGTTTAAAACCCTTGTGGAATAATTGCTTTTCAGAGGTGTCTTCCAGATATAGCTTGTGTGTTGGTTTTGAGACTCTAATGATTCTGAGGCTATTTTGTTTTCATTATACCAGGAAGGAAAACTGATTAGATCAATCAAAACATGTTAGCCCAAATGATACAATCAGCAATACCATAGCCTCAAGCGCAGCTTAGAAAATGACAATTTGTGGTAGTTATTAATCTATCACATTTAACTGTGTGAATTAAATCAAAACCGATGACCAACCTAATATATGTTTATAGTGAATAAACTATTCAGTATAGCATTTTTCCCCTTATGGGTGGGGAGTTAGAAGGAGTTGGGGAGGGAGGGACAGGTAGAAAGATCAGGAAAGAGTAGCAGTGAGGCCAGAAGACACAGGAAGATCACACAAACTCTTAAGAAATTGCTAAAGACAAGAGGAAAAGGCAGAATGAAAGAACAGAGATGTGAACAGAATCACCTAACAGCAACAGGGAGGCTAGATACTGTATGTACTTTCCTTTAAAACTAATGATAATCAAGAGAAGGAAAAAGAGAAGAAAAGAAAAATAAAGGAGAAATCTGAAATCAGTGCAGAAAGGAACAAATGGGGAGATGAAGAGCAACGTGGGACAGTGAGAGAATGAGAGAGACAGAGAGAGAGAGAGAGAGAGAGAGAGAGAGAGAAAGAAAAGATTAAAGAATGAAAAGTAAGAAAAGTAAAAAATTTGAAAAGAGTAGAAAAAAGTAAAAAGTAAGAATTAAAAATAAGAGAAAATTTTTTTTTTCTTTTTTGCAAATAGTAAAAGATAAAAATGATGGGCCTCCTTCAGGGTATGTCTCTGTTGTCACAGTAGGCAATGTAGGCATCCGTATGCATATACAAGTCATTGAGTCTCAGCAAGCCAGCAGCAGACCTGTGAGATTCAGGCAGATTTCTGGCTGCTAGTCCCAAATTGAGCTCCCTGTCCTCCTGCAGGGTTGAAATCTGCAAAGTTCTACTGCAGGTTCCAGTTGCCCTTCCCCTGAAGATAGTGCAGGTTTTGATGGGAGGTGTTGATACCAGGTGATTATCCCTCCGACTTACCAAGTACAGTGGTCTAGTGTGCCTTTATTGTAGAGATTCTTTTTACTTTTCCGCTGAGCTTCAGTTTTCATCGAGAAGCCTGAGAAGCCCTCTTTCTGTTACTAACTTCTGCTCTATCTTGTGCTCAGGACAAGGGCCTTTATAATCCCCTGTGCCTCTGTAGTGTGGAACCAGGTAGCAGCAGAGCCTGGAGGCCGGGGCGGGGGCGGGGGGCAATGGGACTGGGTCTTGCAGGAGCTCGCTCTGCTAATCAGAGTGCCAGATGGGGCCAGGGCTCCAAGCCGCCCACTCATCCTGGCATGGGTGGGGCCCGGGACGGAGCCCAGGGGCTTCACGCTGCTTGGCTCCCCTGCTTGCCCTTTTTGTTTGCCCCGAGTAGAGCGCAGGATGCTACATAACATTTTGATCAATGATAGATCACAGATATAATAGTAGTCCCATAAAATTATAATGGAGAGGAAAAAAAATCTCATCTCCTTGTGACCTTGTAGCCATTGTAACCATGGTAACGTTTAGCACAATGCATTACTCATGTTTGTGCTGAGGATGTTCTAAACAAACGTGTTGCACTGCCATTCATGTAAAAGTATAGTGCATAAAATTATGTACATTATATAATATTTGTTAATAAACTATCTTACTAATTTATGTATTTATTATATTTTTATTATTTTAGAGCATAATCCTTCTGTTTACTAAGGTTAAAAACCGTATGCTGATAGCAGCCTTATACTGAATTTACCATGGCTCTTGATTGTACCAAGAGGTCATGTTGAGCAAGTTGTGTAATTATACTCCATGATATTTGAATTGTGATGGCTTCACTTAATGATACGTTTTTTCAGAATGTTTCTGTGTTGTTGACACATGATCCTATGTGTGTGCTCAACACTGAAGAACCAAAATATATAAATCAAATATTAGTTCTAAAGGGAGAGATAACTTCCAATACAGTAATAGTAGGGTGCTTCAACACCCCTGTGTTCAGCAATGTTCAGATCATCCAGACAGATAATCAACAAAGAAACATCACATTTAATTGCATTCTAGACCAAATGGGCCTAACAGACATTTATAGAACAGTTCATTCAATAGCTACAGGTTATACATTCTTCTTAACTGCACATTCTCCAGGATATGTTAGGCCACAAACATGTCTTAAAAAATTTAGGAAGACAAAAATAATCTCAAGTATCTTTTCTGACCATGTAGTATAAATTTCAAACTCATTAACAGAAGGAACTTCAGAAACTTTACAAATACATAGAAGTTAAACAACATGCTCCTGAAAAGCTCTGTGAATTTTGGATATGACCTCAAAAGCAAAGGCAACAGAAGCAAAATAGACAAATGAAATTCCATCAAACTCTACAGCTCTTACATGGAAAAGAATACAATAAAGACAATGTAGAGAATAGAAGAAAATATTTACAAACTATAGATCTGATAGACAGTTGATATTCAAATTATACAAGAAAACAAGAAAAAAGAACTGTACATAAATGTGTAAAAGGTCTAAATGGACATATCTTTAAAGAAAACTTGCAAATAACCAAAAATATATGAAAAAATGGTCAAAATTACCAATCAGAGAAATGCAAATGAAAACCGCAGAAAGATGTCACCTCACTGCGACTGGTAGAATGGCTGTTATCAAATGGTGAATGTAATCATAATGTAAACCTAAAATGTACCAATAAAGTTAATTTTTAAAAAAGACAAAGGATAACAAGTATGAGTAAGGAAGTGTAGAAAATGGAACTTGTACAACCTATAAGAATGTAAATCACTGCAGCTGTTATGGAAAGTATAGTGGTTCCTCAAAATATTAAAAGCAGAAGCTATGGGCTGGGGATTTAGCTCAGTGATACCATCGCCTGCCTCACAGGTGCAAGGTCCTGAGCTCCATCCCTGGTACCAAAAACAACAACAATAACAACAACAAAACAGAACCTGGAGATAATGCTAAGTGAAATAAGCCTGACATAGAAAAAACTCACCTACATTACCTAATAACTGGAATAATCCTTCATTTGATATGGATTAAGATAAAAATTTTGAGTTAATATAAAATGGGCTATGTTGATGATTGTAAGAAAGGACAGATAGGTTCACTTTAGAAAATCTAATTTTGTTATGATAAAATCATTCTATAGACATATAATGTGTATTATGTAGTTTATATCATATTATTTTATACATGGTTGTCATGTGTGTGTATACATACACAGATACATACAGCCCACAGAGATCAGCAACTCATTAAGAATTAAGTGGCTCAAGGAACCACCAATTTAAAAAATCATTTTGTTTTAATATATCTCTGGAGAGGGCCGGGGACTTGGCTCAGTGGTTTTGCCGCCTGCTGTGCAAGCACAAGGACCCAAGTTCGAAGCCCGGTACAAAAAAAAAAAAAAAAAAAAAATATATATATATATATATATATGTATCTATATAAATATATATCTATATATCTATATCTATATCTATATACCTGGAGAAAAGTACATTATATTATAAATTTTCACAAACTGAATGTAGTATAGGTAAGACATTACCTTTTGACTAATTGCAAACATTTAATTGAAACATAAAATGTATTATCAGGAGATTTAGATGTGTGATTGAAAAAGAGAAAACCTTTTAAAGCATGAATTACTTGTTAATACTTAAAAAATGTTTTCTAGGTTTTTTTGATGTTATTTTCAACAAAGGAAATATATGCATTTTTCAAAGTCATGAGATGAGACATCTTTTTCTTGCTCTTGATAATGGCTCTGTCACTGGAATGGTGAGTAGTAAATTTTCTTTTTGCTATTATATCAATAGTACTATACCTGAATAGAATACATTTTTATATAATGTACTTTTATAAAATTATCAACTTATATTTTTCTTTGGCTTATATTTATATTTTTTAACATTTTTGTTTTACTAATTTTTGAGATTCTGATACATAAATGATTCTGGATTTTCTCAACTTAAATCTAGAACAAGTCTCTTGATAATATTATAAATTTTAAAGAACTTTCAGAAGGAGACTATATGAGTTCTTCATGGTGCCTTTAGGGACCATATTTATAAAAAACCCCAATGATTTTGTCTGATAATATGTTGTGTTGCTCAGTTTAGGTTTGAAAAATAGTTTTTAATATGTAAAAATATTTTCTTAAAATACACGCATGTTGTCGATGTTGAAAAATGAAACGACATAGGATAATTGTCTTAAAATGTGTCTTAGTTAATTTTCTCATTGCTGAGACAAAATGCATGACACTCAAGGTTAAAAGAGGAAAGGTTTATTGTAGCTCACAATTTGAGGAAGTTTCAGTTCATGGTTGGTCGGCTCCAAGACAGGGTGGCAGGGGAGAGGGGCATCATAGAGGGGAAACAGTTCATGGGAGGCAGAAAGCAGCCAAAACATGCAAGTAGCAACAGCAGCAAGTGACAAGTGACAGCAGTAGCCCCCTTTTCTGTCCCTTATATCCTATCCAGGCTACCCACCCTTAGCACTCTCACACAGGTGGGGCAGAAACCCTTAATCTTAGCATTGCACCTTTAATTAATTCTAATATCACATCCATGATCCAAGCATCCCATACCCTAGATCCAGCCATCTCTGAAAAGTCCTTCCTATGACTGCATCTAGATACATCTAGATACAAGCCATAACATTCTGCCTCTGGTCCCTCAGACTCTTGTACAAAGCTTTATGCAAAATGCCTTTAGTCTAAGAGTTGCCAATGTCCTAACCATTTCAGCATCTTTGAAAAGTCCAAGCCCCAAATTTTCTCTGAGATTTAAGGCAAACTCTTATCTGAAAGCCCCTGTACAACAGAAAAGAAAGTTAACCACTTCCAACATACAATGGCAAAAGATAAACATTATCATTCCAAAAGGTACAAATAAGGGGATAGAAAGGAACAGTATCAAAGCAAGTCCAAAACCAAGTAGGCCAAACAATAATCGGTATAGCTCCATGTCCTACCTGCAAGGCAGCCTGGCAAGATGTGAACCCCAAAGGGCTTGGGTGGCTCCCCCACTATGGCACTTCTGGTGGACGTAGCTCCCATGGCTTCTCTCTTTGGCTGGCTTTGCTCCCTCTGTGTAGCTTTCCTCAGATGATCTACATTCCTGGAATCTCTGAACTTTTGGGGTCTCCACTGCACCTTTGGCTTCACACCCATAGCTTCACACGCTGCCGGCCTCCCAGGCCTCTTCTGACATCTGGGTGGAAGCCTTTCTGACCTCACAACTCTTGCATTCTGCATGTGCCTAAAACCAGCACCATGTGGATGACAAGCACGGTCTGCCACTAGCTGGAGTAGCAGCCAGGCTTCCTTCTCTCTTGGCTGTAGAAGTTGAGAGCCTGGATTGCTGAGTACTTGGATCCCAATCTTGAGGAACAAATTTTCTGTGGCTACTCTGTGTGTGTTCTAGGATATGATGCTTGTAAAGGGTGGAGTTCTGTTAGTTCTTGTGATGTTCCTAGGACAGCTTTTGCATTGTCTTGTTCCTTCTCAGCAACAAGGTCCTCTTCTCTATCCTTGGAATGTACAGCTTTACGGAAGCTTCCTTTCTGGCCAAACTCTCTCAGCATTTTGTATCATTCTGCTGGGATCTTTGCTCTTAGTTCTCAGCATAGAACAGGCTGAAAGCCCCCAACAGTAGCCACACCACTGCTTCAACATTAGACTGTCTTGAAATTTCTTCTGCAAGATTATTTAGTCCACTGACCTTGATCTCAGTCTCAGGAAAAGTCTCTGGACATGAGCAAAATGCAGACAAACTTTCTGCCAAGGCGTAACACACCTTCTCTGGAGTCCAACAGCCAATGTGTTCCTTCTTCTCATCAGAAACCTGAGCCTAGTCTTTACCAGTAGCATTTATGCCAGCATTCTGGTCTTCTGACCAGAATCCCCCATCAAGTACAGCTTAGAGCATTACAGGATTGTTTTTTTAGCTCACATCTCTAAACCTTTCCAAACTCTTCCCACGAGTCAGTTCCAAAGGCTCCTGAACCACATGGTCAGGTACTATCACAGCAATGACCCCGCTTCTCTGATAACCAAAGTTTTAGTTATGTTTCTTGTCATGGAGACAAAATACTTGACACCCAGGGTTACAGGAGGAAGGGTTTATTGTAGCTCACAGTTTGTAGAGGTTTCAGTTCATAGTTGGCCAGCTCCAAGACAGGGTGGCAGAGCAGAGGGGCATCACAGAGGAGAAACAGTTCATGGCAGGCAGCAGGCAGTCAAAACATGCAAATAGCAACAGTAGCAAGCAACAAGTGACAAGTGACAAGTTACAGCAGTAACCCTTTTTCTGTCCCTTATATCCTATCTAGGCTACCCACCCTTAGGGCAGTACTCTCACCTAGGGTGGGGCAGCAACCCTTAATCCTAGCATTGCACCTTGAATCAATCCCAGTATTACTTCCTTGATTCCTCCATCACTTCCTTGATCCCAGCATCACACACCCTAGATCTAGCGACCTCAGAAAAGCCCCATCTGTGGTATGAGGCTATGGGGGGTGGGTGGGCATCTAGCTACAAGGCATAACCGTATATATTACAGTATTTAGTCCTTAAATATACCTATAAGATGATACATTCTTATCTCTAACAGAAGCAGAACATGAAGTCTATATAGGGTTAAGTTGGTCATGGTCACCGATTAGTAAATGTAGAAGCAGGAATTGAAAAAAAGCAATCTGACTCACGTTGCAGCTCCCTCATGCAATGCCTAATATTACATAGTGGTTCTAACTCATGTTACTTAACTTTAGGGAAAACAATAATTATTGAAAAAATACTTATATAATTTTTATGTCAGGCCAAGGGGTTCCATGAAGTTATTTCTCCTTTGCTTTAGACTTATACTCTATACTGTACTTAATAGGACATAAAAAAGGCCACAGTAATTTTTATACCTAATATTCAGCCTAAGGGATTATTCAGATATTTTTCATGAAGCCATTTCTCCTTTGCTCTGGACTTACATTCTATATTATACAAAAGAGGTCATAGTAAATGCTTAATAATTTGAATGTAGTTGGTAGGGAACATACTCAGTTAAATTAAGAGTGAAAGCAATGTTCAGTTACAGTACCATATTTTTCCAAAATCAAATTAAGCCAAATCCCTTATCCTACTAGGTTTTTGGAAGATTTCATCTTAGTTATTAAGATATTTACCATGTTTCACACAAAATTTCACCTGGTATGAGTTCTCAAATATCTAGAGTCAGCCTTTAGGGTTTTGGTCCCCACCGGCCATTGTGATGGATTCATGAAGCATCAGATGATTTCTTAAAGGCAAAGAGCTCTGTTACTTCTCTGCAATCCTTGAGCAGTTGAACTTTGCTGAAATAGGTAGACCTAGGGTCATAGGTCTGGCCACTCAGGGAGTACCAGTGAGCCCTACTGCCCACTTGAGGCACTGATGGGAAATGGGGCAGGTCCTCCAACACTGCCCTGAACCCGAAACATCTCCCTGGAGAAGAATCTTCACAATTCCTTTTAGTCTTTTGGAAACAAAGCCTAGGAATGAGGTAGGGCTTTTGTTAATTTCAGTTTTCAGTCTCAAATAGTCTTCAGTTAGGAGAACTAAAATGATTAAATTGAAAACAATAAAATACACATTCATGTTTTTAAAAATTATCCTGCCACTGGAGTTATTTTTTCTATGCAACACTTTGTCATGGATTCTAAGAAATAGAGAAGAAAGTCCTTGGAGCAGTTCACTGACAATAAGGCTGGGGAATAAAAGCAACTGAATAACAAAAGCGTGAGAGTGTATAAATAATACAAGGCTTGTATAGCATGGAGTAGACCTGCATATACTATACAAATAATATCAGGATATTTTAAATTTTATTGTGTTCTTTTGCTAATTCAGAGTTAGAGCTCTCTTTTCTTTTTTAATGTTTTCTTTTAGGCTGGTGGTGGAGCCCCCACTGAGTTTCGGGTGCTTTATCAGCCCAGCCGCTCTGCACTTCTTGAGTCAGTACTGGTTCCTGGTCACATAGTGAGCTTTAATCGTCATGGCAGAATAGCTGATGAGTCATCAGCAGGCTATGCAGACCTTTCAAAAGAATTTGTAATTTTTGTCAAGGTAAAATGGAATTTCATCATCTGAGTATATATTTTTAAATAAATTTCTTTTGCTTTGTTGAGGAAAAATTTGAATTGAATCATATTGTAGTAATCAGATCTTCTTCCACTAGGTGGCATGGATGCCTATTACCATTATGTTTACCCAGACTTTGAAAAGCTTTAGCAGCAATGCAACTGTGATGGATTTAATGTCCTGTATCTATTTAAAGTTGGAAGTTAAAATTTTGGATGTGGAGATTCTTAATTTAAAAATTAGAGGGCTGGGGATTTAGCTCAGTGGTGCCGCACCTGTCTTGCAAGTGCAAGGTCCTGAGTTTGATCCCTGGTACCGAAAGAAAAAAGAAAATTAGAGAATCTTGCATTTGGGTGTTGACATGAATAGACTGAACTTTTCTAACAATTGGGATTTGTATCCTGTGGTTATTAACCATGTGTAGTCATTTCCTAATGCTTTTGTCTCTTTCATTATAGCATGTGTTTATGGATTTGTCTTAAAATAATATTATCATGTTAGTATAACTATAATTTTTGAGAGTTCCAATTTATAGACATTTTACTGAGAGTTTTACCATGTATAAGACAAATTACTGAAGAATCTCTGTGCTTTAAAGGTGAAGGAAAGATTTTCAGTGATATTCCGAGTCTTAGTGAGCTGGGTGTGGTGGTGCATATGTGTACTCTGAGCACTCTGGGAGGCTGAGAAAGATCGTAAGTTTGAGCTTAGCCCGGACAATTTAGTGAGTTAGAATCTGTCTCAAAATAAAAAATAAAAAAAAATTTAAAAAGGGCTGGGGATGTAGCTTCATGTGAAGGCCTTAGGTTCAATGTCGAGAGAGAGAGAGAGAGAGAGAGAGAGAGAGAGAGAGAGAGAGAGAGAGAGAGAAGAGAGAGAGAGAGACTCTGAATATATGAATCTTGGCTACTACAGAATAGTTATTAAATGGTAGATCATGTTTCAAACCATACTCTTACTGTCTTTTTAAAATTTACTATACTTGTTATATAATAAATACTTCCTTTTTTTTTTCTTGGTACTGGGGATGGAACTCAAAACCTTGCACTTGCAAGGCAGGTAGGTGGCAGCACCACTGAGCTAAATACCGGCCCCCTCCCTAATATTATTATCTTTCTAAAAACAACAAAAATTTAACATATGGCATATTATTTAATATATCTGTGTTTTATATATCTGTGTATTTGTATTTTTAAATTATTAAACATTTTTCTGTTTTCATTTTACACCTTGGGTTCATGGTATTGTAATATAAAATTTAACATTAATATTTGTATCTTTTATTATTTTCTTAGCTTAGAAAATTAGAAATTGAATTTAAGGGTTAGAATACAGAACTTTTAAGATTCTAGAAACACTATCAAACTTTTTTCCAAAATGTATCAATTTTTATTCCTGTGAAATTTAAGTCAATCACGAAGTTAGAGCCCATTCTACTACTTCACTTCTGACATCAACTGGAGAGTTTGGAGGTTCTTGAGATCACTATCAAGGCTTGGTCACTAGAAATACTCAAAGAATCATTGAAAGTCTTTATACTCATAGTTATGGTTTATTACGGTGAAAGAATACAGATCCAAATTTGCTACTTGAAGAGACACATAGGGGAGAGCCTAGGAAAAGCAGCAGATGTGGAACTTCTAGTTGCCTTCTCCTCATGGAGTCAAAGCAGAATTACTTTCTCAGCATTGATATGGCATGATACAGAGGAAGTATTGTCAAGCAGGGAAGGTCACCTAAGATTGGTATCATTTACTGCAGTTCCAACACATAGAGTCTTTGGGGCTTATTTCAGTCTCCAGGCCCTTAGCTTAATTGATAACTTATAACCAAAAGCCCCTACTTTAAGTCACATTGGCTTAATCTGGCTAGTCCAAAGCCACTAGCAGAACAAACATACTCCTATCAGGGATGTCAACTCTAGGGGCTTAGAGATTATTTTTTAGAAGGTGAGGCAAAGGCCAGATTTCTCTGGGTAAGGTTAAGTTCTTTATTCCCAATACCTTGCAGCACTGTAGGAGAAAAACTTATCTTACTAACCTCAGTGTTGAATGTGTGTCTAAAAGAGGAAATCTTAGACAACTGCCTAGGAGAATAAACATCTAATTTAAGCTTTTATTCATTGCTAGGAATGGATAACCTTTCCTTATGTTTATACACCAATTGAATTTGTACCTTCTGTGATTTGTATGTTTGCCTTTTATCCATTTTTTATAGTGTTAATGTATTTTTAGTTAATTTTCAAGAGCTTTTTATATTGTTCTCTTAATGATTGCATAGGATTTACTGCTATATATCTTGGTTGTTTGCTTCTCTTCTCATTAAATTCTATGTGCCTACATTTAATTCAAGTCCATGGGTTGCATTCCATAATTTGGGTACTCTCCAGCCATCTTGTTAACAGAATGTGTGCTTTTTAACTTACTGCCTTTCTGTTGTTTATTGCTTTGGAGGGAGTGTTCCACAACAGTGCTGTGGTTCTACTTGCTACGAGCCTGTGTCAGGCCCTGTGTCTACAGCCTGATGGGACCTGCACTGGATCAGGAAACCAGTCTGAAAAATCTTACTGGAAAGTACATAAAATCAGCTCTGGGATTTGCATGTTTGAAAGTGTGAAAAATGCACGGATGTACCTAAGGATTAAGGATGGCCAGTGTGATGGAGCAGTAAGCATATACTTTTATTTCTCTCAACAAATGTTTAAGATATTTGCCAGTAATAGACATAAAAACTGCACTTTTATGAGTGTTTTGATTCTAAGTTTTACCTACAAACATTCTGGAATTGGATGTTATATGTGGTAGTCTCCCATAACTGGTGTTTTTAGTAAGTTGGGAATGTGCCATGTGCCTGGTAAATAAAGGATCCTGACCCTCTAAAACGTACTTCTTTTTTTATTTTTAACTTTATTAAATTCTTTTATTGGTACATTGTAGGTATACAACACAATTACATTTCTCATTGGGAATTGTACCTTTACATAATGC